TTTCACATATAGTATCTTGTGTGATTCATAGAACAATTTTATCAGAAGACAATATAGATACTGTGCTCTTTTTTTAGGAAGAGGTTAAATGATTTGCCCAGAGTCACGCAACTAGGATCTTGGATCTTCGGATGTGAACTTAGATCTTCAGATCCAAAATCAGTATTCTTTCCATTATGTGTTCTGACTCTTCCATACATTTTACCACTCAGCTAAAGTCGACTTTTCAAAAATAGTACCTAGAATGTTTCTCTCATTCTTTGTGATTCATCAGAATTTAATACCACTGATGATTTCCTTATAAAAATACCTACCTTAAAGAAACTTTTTTTTGCCTGTAAAGGATTAAGTTCTATTTTTAGAAAACAGAATAAGAAAATACCACTGTGTTTTATTACCCAGAGGTGACCATTATACATATGTATGTGTATTCCTTGCCTTGGTATGCATGTGTCTTTAATATAGTTGAGATCGTATTTTGTCCACAAAAATATTTTTCTGTTTCATGGCTTGCTAAAGTTCACAATTTTTTCTTTACTCAAAGAGAGGATTTGTTTGTATCTCAATGAATTGGAAATTTCAGGACAATGAATTACAGAGACAATCCAAAATAATTTTATTGTACCTTGATTCCTCTTCAATGGAACAGAGTTGCTGCATTCCACGATGTAGTTTATAGGAATTTCACTCCGTGGAGCTGCACGATGCAGAGCTTTAAAGACTGAGTTGATTCTTCCGAGAAACTCAGCAGGTATTATGTTAACGCTCATGCCTTCCAGTTTGCTGGTGGGATTCCATTACCCTTTCTCATTTTTAATTTTGAAATAATTTTAGACTTTCAGAAAAGTTTTAACAGATGTCTTCAGAGAAATAGAAGATGGGCAGAAACTGCTAAAAATTAAAATGAAATTTAAAAAGTGAAAAAAGATGAAAGAGAATGTAGAGTTCTGAAGATGAGCAAAGATTCAATAGGAATAGAAATGCCTGCAGAAGAAAAGCAATGGAGTGAAATAGACATATTTAACTAATAATTAAAAATATTTGCTTAAAATAAGAAAAAATGTCAATACACTAGTTCATTTGATAATTGGAAAATAAAGGAGTTTCTGTCTAATTACTTTTGGTTTCTCTATGAAATATTAGAAAAGGGTGAGTGAGGTTGAAGATATAGTAGGAGGTTTTTTGAAAAAATGAGAATGTGATAGGCCCTTTTAGGTTAGAAGGGTATAATAATTGGATTAGTATGCAGTTTTGAGTGGCTGTTTGAGACTTAATGGTCATGAATTCTAAGTAAAAAATCAGCCTGGTTGTATGTTTTTCTCCAGTATAATTCTGTGGTTCTGGAACAAGCTTAAAACAAGCATCATTTATTTGAGGTTTGAACAGCATGGGTTAAGAAGGGAGAGAAATAAAGTTAAGCATTTTTGCAAGTGAGCAATTGCAGTGCACAGCCATAGACTAGAAGCGGTATCAGTAGAGACAAAACAATGAAGAAAGGGATGGATATTGTAGTAGGGTCAGTGATTGGACATCTCAGTAAGGTCAAGGAATTGCCAGAATGTGGGCACTAAACTAGGGGCTTAAGCATGGACTGTTATGTTTATAAAGTAGAAAAATTGAAATAGAGATTTTAGATTGGCACAATTATTGAAAATTACAAGATGAAGGATATGAATTTGACAATTCAGTTGATGGAGTGGAGTGGAGGAAAAACTCATTAGAATTAAGGAGTCAAAGAAGTTGTAGACTAAGCTATTGGATGGATCGTGTTGATGGTGGAGTAATAGGATAGTAATAGAGTAATAGGGTAATAGAAACAGGGTGGGGAGGAAAGACAGCAAGTCGGTTGCTAAAACCTTCAATGAGTAGGACATTGTTAGATTCTGAAAATGGTAAAGTCGATGTGGCTTGAACTTCATTTTTTATATCTGTTTTATCTTTCTAATCTTAACTCTGTGCTAGTATTTTGTTTTCAAGCCTTCAGTGGCTCCTTGTTGGATACCACAATAACTGTTCTTTCTCTTAGATATACTGGGTTCAACACAGCTTTATCTTTCCTCTTTTGCTTGTTTTCTGTGCTGCAGACAAAAAAATATGTTTACTCTTTCACAGACTGTATTTCCTCATTTAGTGTATTGTTGGGTTCATTGTTTCCCCTGACGTTTATAGTAGTTTTCTTTCTTATTACCCGTCTATGCACATTGTACTCATTCTTTAAGCATATTTAAGATTTTGCTATTTTTTTTTCCTGTACAGTATTTTTTCCAGCTCCTTAATTTACATCATGTTTCATTCTTTATATGCCTATTATATTTCTCTTTTGGCACTTTTCTTCTTTGAGTTATACTTATTTGTACACTTGTCTTCCCCCTTCATGGACTCTAAGCACCTTGAGGATAAGATCTTACCAATCAATCTATTTCATCTGGCATCTAGACTATTTTCTAAATACAGAGTTGCTTAACTGAAACTAAATTACGCATTTTTTATCTTTTGTTTTCTAGGAAATTTTAGATATCCTAACCAATAAAATAAAATTTTGTTTGCTTCTTAGAAGTAATAAGAACTCAACTGTTTTGTCATATTAAAATTCATTCAACTCACGCCCATCGAGTCGTTATCTGACTCATAGGGACCCCTCCTTGGATTTCCGAGGCAGTATCACTATGGAAGTAGATTGCCCAGCCTTCCTTCTGAAGAGTGGCTGGTGGGTTTGAACTGCCAGACAAATTAACTATGTCTAATTTAATTTTTAGGTTATCCGTTATAAAAGATTGATCATGTAACATACTTTAATGAGCCCAGCCTTGTGATTATAGGTGCTGTGTAGTCATACAGTAGTTGTTGTTGTTGTTGTTATGTGCTGTCGAGTCAAACCCGACTCATAGCAACCCCTCCTTGGGTTTCTGAGGCAGTATCACTACAGAAGTAGGATTGCCCAACCTTCCTTCCGAGGAGTGGCTGGTGGGTTTGAACCGCCAGCCGTCTGGTTAGCAGGCAAGTGTCTTAGCCACTATGCTACCAGAGCTCCCCATACAGTAGTAGTATTATCAAAATACAGTAAAATCTCTATGGCACAAAGGAGTCCCAAGTTAGAATTTGGAATGATGAAAAGTGTTTGAAATTTTCATTTTCACAGTTTAGGAAAGAGAATATTTGATATGAAACATTTTCTTCAAACCAGGAATTAACAGAGTTATTAAAGCAAAATACCCAAACCTATTCACCTGTCTTTTTGTTTAAAGTCCAGTTTCATGGCTTTTTATATAAGAAAGGAAGAGGGAATTGGTGTGATGGAATACAGGATAGAGTTAGAACATATTGTCATTAGGTATAAAGTGTCAGAGGTTTAGGAATATTATTTCCCAATAGTTTTATGTTTTTATGTATCTTTCTATATTTATATATATATGTGTGTATATGTATATATATGTGTGTGTGTGTGTGTGTGTGTGTGTATATATATATCAGCATACATCTATGGTATATAAATGCATGTAAAGCATACACATTCTATACTTATATATAACATAAGTATGCATATTAAAGGGTTATATATATATATTTGTGAATATATACATGGCTATCTATGTATATGTGTGTGAGTATGCCTAAATAACATTCTCCATGGCAATATAAAATTAATGTTGTTTAAGTTTTCTTTTGTGTTGGTGGTGGGAAACTATAAATAAAGATGAGGGAACAGAAACATGTTAAGTCAAACCTTTGCCCTTGAGGAGAATGAGCAGGTGATTGAGAGGGGGCACAAGAAGTGGTAAAGAGCTTTTATTCTGATGATTTTATTACCTTAGAGGATGGTCACTTAGATGTTTACTCTGTAATTAGATTTTAAACTAGACATATGTCATTCATATTATTTTTTAGATGTGATATATTTCACAATGAAAGAATGTTTACTTTGAAAAGAACTTCTATAATTTTAGTTCAGAAAAGAAATATGCTTAATCATCTTAGCATTTCTTGCATGGACACATAAGGGTAGCAGCAGTTTATGGAAGGTATTTTTGTGTACGTGATAAAATTACCCATTGGATTGCTTTACTTGTCTCTTTCTGTTGCAGTTATGTTTATTTTAACTTCATTCTCTAGAATAACAATAGCATGACACATTTGTTAAAAAGTCGTATTTTATAAATGCATTGATTGCCAGTTTTTCATCAAATACCAAATAATGTATTCATGTGTGTTTATTTCTGTATACATAGAGCTCCTATACCCCTATGTATACATGTATATACTTATACAAGGATAAAACACTTAAACAAGGATAAAAACACATACAATAACATTTTAGAAGATAATGAGTTAGCATTTATAACCTCTGCTCAATAAGATTTTCCAAAATTGCAAAGTAATAAAGAAAAAAAAATTGAAATTATCAAACTTGTGATCATTCTTTTCTTATGCTTTTATTTATTTATTTTTGTCTGATTTTATTTCAAAATGTTATTTTAAATGAGTTTTTCATTCTTGTGAAATTGATACTTCAGTTGAAAAAAAAAAGAGCTTGTTGAAAATTCATTTTATGACTAGGCTTTTAATATACCCACAAGTATTTTATTTCAGTAACTATGATCTTTAATCTTACACTTGTATTTAGAGAATTTTAGCGGATAGATGTAAAAGAATATTCCTTTTCTATATTGAATATGTATAAAATCTGGTCACATAATTCAAGTTAATTATATTTAACTTTCTTAAACAAAGTTCCTAAAACGTTTATCTGACTAAATACAATTGTCATGCAAATAAAGGTGATACTCCTACATTGGTGTTGCCATTTGGTTTAGTGAGATACAGATTCTTTTGTAGACATCAGTATTTGATGATATAATTAAAATCATAATGCACTTCCTTTCAGTTTTTCAATGTAATGAACTTTATGAATTTTAGTTTTCATTTTTAGTATATTAGAAAATGTTTTTAATACCACTTACTAATTGTCTTTTTCCCAATAAATTGCAGCAAAATATCTATTTTGGAGTTTAAAGTATGTCATCATGGCAAAGTTTCGGAGAAGGACTTGCATCATTTTGTCACTTTTCATTCTATTTATTTTCTCACTGATGATGGGTTTAAAAACTCTGAGACCAAAAATGGCTACTTTTGGAGATCCTTTTGGACTTGACCTTCTTCCAGAGTTTCGACAGCAAACTGTTCACTTGGAGAAAAACTTTGATTCTAAAAAGAGTGACAAAATCAACAGTGGAACAAATACAAATAATTTAAAAAGTGTGGAAATCACTATGAAACCTTCCAAACCCTCTGAATTTAACTTGGAAGAGCTGCCACCCCTGAATTATTATTTACATGTATTTTATTACAGTTGGTATGGAAATCCACAATTTGATGGTAAATATATACATTGGAACCATCCAGTCTTGGAGCATTGGGATCCTCGAATAGCCAAGAATTATCCACAAGGCAGACACAATCCCCCAGATGATATTGGTTCCAGCTTTTACCCTGAATTGGGAAGTTACAGCTCTCGGGATCCTTCTGTCATAGAAACCCACATGAGACAAATGTGCTCAGCTTCAATTGGTGATTATTTTATATGTGTGTGTAGTGTATATATTTATGGATATATGTGTATATATGATTTCTTGTGGACATGAAATTGCTAATCAGTCTTCACATTGTTACTAATTATATTTTTAAATTCATAACATCCAAATTAAACCTTACACATGGTCTTAAAAATCCAGACAAGCTGCTTTTAACCCTGCTGTTAGGTAAAGTAGTTAAATTCCAATTTTTTTCTGGATGTCTTAGATTTACTGGTTTCCAATTTACTCTCATTCTGAATTTTATTAAGTAATAATTTATATAAACTACAATAAATTCTCCATATTAAATATATAGCTACATGGTATTTCTCAAACATATATACCTGTTTAAATACCCAATCAAGAAGTAAACATTTCCATAGCCCAAAATATTTTATTGTGTTGTCCTTATTCACCCTCCACCCTCATAAACTGGAGTTCTGATTTCCATCCTGAAGATCAGTTGTGAATATTCTGCTACATTAGATAATGGAGCTGTGTGTATGCGTATGTATGTGACTTCTTTTGCTTTGCATAATATTTTAAGACTTACTCAGGTTATATCAGTTTAGTCATTTTTTGCAGGTGAATAGTATTCTATTGTTAACTACAGCAGATTTGTTTCTGTATTCATCTGCTGATGGACATTGGACAGTTTCAAATATTTATTTTTGCTGTTTTAACTAGTTTGACAATTTTTTAAATTTATTTCATTTATATCTAATGTAATAATGATATGGTGATTTAAAATATTTTATTTTGCTATTTATTTTCTCTTTGTCCCATTTGTTCTTTGTTCTTTTCCTGCCTTCTCTTTTAATGAATATATTTAGCATTTCATTTTATATTCTCTTATGACTTATTAGATATATTGCTTCATTTAATTATTTGGTGATTGCTCTGGAGTTTACAACATGCACCTTTAAGTCATAATAATCTGCCTTTAAGTAATAGTATAATACCTTATGTATAATTATAATATAAAGACCTTGCAACAAAATATTCTTTTTTCTCCTTTTTCTCCTTTTCTGCCCTTTGTTGTTGTTGTTGTTGTTATGTGCCGTCGAGTCAAACCCGACTCATAGCGACCCCTCCTTGGGTTTCCGAGGCAGTATCACTACAGAAGTAGGATTGTCCAACCTTCCTTCCGAGGAGTGGCTGGTGGGTTTGAGCCACCAGCCGTCTGGTTAGCAGGCAAGTGTCTTAGCCACTATGCTACCAGAGCTCCTACTATTGTTAATTTTACCACTATAGGGAACACAATGCAACACACTGCGTGGAGTCAGATCCAACTCATAGTGACCCCTCCTTGGGTTTCCCCGGGGGTATAGCTACAGAAGTAGATTGCCTGATCTTCTACTGAGGAGTGGCTGGTGGGTTTGAACCGCCAGCCTTCTGGTTAGCAATTAGATGCCTTAGGCACTATGCCACCAGCGCTATCAATTACGTATGTTATAAATCTCATAATACTCTAATTCTTTAATCAGTTAATTACAATTTTTCAAAGTTAAAAATAGGAAAAATATTTTATATTTATTCTTTTTAGCATCATTCTTCGTTTTTGTAGGTAGATCTAAGTTTTCGTTCAGCAGAGCAATTTCATAGAACATTTCTTATAGTGCACATCTGTCTGATAGCAACACATTCTTTTAGTTTTAATTCACAAATATCTTTATTTCATTTTGAAGAATTTTTCTGGATATAAAATGATGAAAGTTTTTTATTTATTGTTTCTGTTTTTATTTCAGTATGTTCAAAATGCTGAAATTAACTTTTGGCTTTATTGTTTCTGATGAGAAATCAGCAGTTATACCCTTATTTGTCTGCCCCCACCCCCACTTTCCTTTCTCTTTCTTCTCCTTCTGTCATGCCAGTTATACATATTTAGATAAATTCAAATTGTCCCACACCAAAAACCAAACCCACTGCCATTGAGTTGATTCCGACTCATAGTGACCCTTTAGGACAGAGTAGAACTGCCCCATAGCATTTCCAAGTATATGTTTATGAAGCAGGCTGCCGCATCTTCCTCCCATGCAGCAGCTTAGTGGGTTCAAACTGCCAACCTTTGTTTAGCAAGCAGTCCAGTGCTTTAATCACAGTACCACGAGAGCTCCCTGTATCGTCCCATGGGTGAACAAAATGAAAAAATATGATTTGGTGCCTACAAATTTTTAATTTATTGATATATCCTTTGTAAAACTTACCTATTTAAGTTCCTTCAATCTTGTTAGTGTCTCTAGCAGTAGGGCCACAGGAAGAAATTTTGAGTTCTTATATAGAGAAGTATAGGGCTCTTTCATGAGCAAAACATTGTAGAGTTCTGTGAATCTTCATCATATATGTATGAGATGACTTGTGTGGAGTTGTTTTCAGTTACTTTAAAAAATCTAACTTTCTAGTATGTACTATTAGCATTAGTTTCTATATTCTACTTGTACCAAGAGAGAAGAAAAGGGTTGCTAAATTTAGACAGCTTTACTTTTCTGTGTGTATGTGTGTGCCTGTCTGTATTTACTAATTGACTTTTTGGGTGAGAAACTTTTATTTTTTTGGCTTATATTTTGTAAAGACTTTGTACTGTCTTCAGGTCTTTCTGGCTATTTCAGTACTGACTTGGTCTTTGTGACTAAAAACACTATAATTAGATGACAGAGAAAATGGTTAATTCTTGGAAGTGTTAATTATCTTTACGCAGGTAAACTGTATACAATGAGATGGTTTTTCCACAGTCAGAAATATTTTTGTGTTTCAGTTTCATTGTTATTAGGAAGAAAAGCTTCAGCTTATGTATAGTTTTATGCTTTTCTAATGCTTGGAATGACATCTTTCTCTATTTACTTTTTCACTACTATATAATGTATATGCATATGAATTATTTCTAAACATCTGTAGTAATATAATTATTTTAAATGTTGATAATTTCACTATTGGTGCAAATATTTTAATTTTATTGACTTTTCTGCTGGAAAAATAAGCAACTACTCAATAGTAATAGAAATGATAATATCTATTTTAAGATAATTTTTTCTAATCATTTAAATATTGAATTATATTCATTATTATTGTTGTTATGTGCCATCAAGTCGGACCTGACTCGTTGCGACCCCTACGTTGGGTTTCCAAGGCAGTATCACTACGGAAGTAGATTCCCCAACCTGCCTTCCGAGGAGTGGCTGATGGGTTTGAACCGCGAGCCTTCTGGTTAGCAGTCAAGTGCCTTAGGCACTGCACTACCAGAGCTCCCTCATTAATATTAGGCAAAGAATAAATTGACTCTCAAATCTCAAACAAAACACAGGATTTTCATCAATAGAGTTGGCTTGCTGACTTTGGCAATTCTTAAATTGAAGAAATTGGCAAACAGGCTGTTTAAAATGTATGGTTGAATGTGCTTTGACTTCATCTTTAACATTCATATTTTTTCTCTGATAGAAACATCCTTTTTATTTTTAAATTTAATTGCTGTATAAAGTATTTATATTATTGCATAGTACAAGTCTGTTGATTTTATACTTTTAAAATTAGAAGTACTGTGTGTATAAATCTTAATGTTCCATCTTTTTTTTCCCCTACAGAATGATGGTGAAATTAAAATGAAATATTAATGTTATGTTTAAACTCCAGTCATTATACTATTAAAAGTATCAGGGAGCAAATTGAAGTCTCATATATTTGCATGATTTTCATGTCTGTTAAGTGAAAGATCATACCAAATAGTCTCTCCCCTGTATCCATATAATGTGATTCTAAAGATACCATGAAGATACTTTTATATATATATATATAAAATATTTCAAACAGAAACAAAGACTAGAACAATGAAGTCCCCTGTGCCTATAACCTAGCTTCAAAATTTTTCAACTAATGGCTTATCTTTTTTCTTTCTTTTTTAAGTCCCTTCACCGTATCAAAACTTTCTCAAGTATCCATCTATTTTCCCTCCCTTCCCCTCGCTTCTCATCCCTGGTAACCCACAAAGAAAATTCCCTTCCCTGTGTAAATGTTTCCTTGACTTTTTATAATAGTGAACTCATATAATATTTGTCCTTCTGTAATTGACTTATTTTACACAGCATAATGTCTTCCAGGTTCATCTGCATTATGAGGTGATTCACTGATTCATCATTTTTCTGTAGGAAAAAAAAAAAAGGTTGGGCCATTAAGCTTTATTATGCATTCTACTTTTAATTTGTTTTATTCAGTTGTAGAAAATAAAAAATGAGTAGTTAGCATACTAGGCCTCAAGATGTCCACATACTAATCCTTAGAATCTGAATATGTTATCTTATATGGCAAGAAAGAATTAAGGCCCAGGAAGCAATGTGGCTAATCACCTGACCTTGTGATGGGAAGAGGTATTATTCTGGATTATCCAGATGGCCTACTCTAATCACATGAGTACTTAAAAGTGGAAGAACAGAGGAAGAAGGTAAGAGAGATGTGATGTGAAAATGACTTGACCTACCATTGCTGATTCTGAACATTGAGAAAAGGGACCTTAAGTCAAAGAATATGGTGGTCTCTAGAATCTGAGAATGGCAAGGAAACAGATTCTCCCCTCTTGGCCCTTCAGAAAGAAAGACAGTCTGAAATCTTGATCTTTGTGCAGTGAGACTCATACTTCTCACCTACAGAACTATTATAAAATAAATGTGTACTGCTTTTAGCTACTAAGTTTTTGATAATTTGTTATGGCAGCAATAGAAAACTCATACACTTAGCAAAGCATAGTTTATTCTGTGTCTTTAAAATTATCTTCTCTTCTTTCGGTTGAACACTAAATATTTATTTAAGGTTCTACCACATTCTAAAATTGTGCTGGATTCTGGGGACATACAAGGAATAAATTACATTCCCTAGTCTTTTCCTCGGGAGGTCTGGTAGCATAGTGCCTAAGGCATTTGACTGCTAACCAGAAGGCTCTCGGTTCAAACTCACCAGCCACTCCTCGGAAGGAAGGTTGGGCAATCTACTTCCATAGTGATACTGCCTCGGAAACCCAAGGAGGGGTCGCTATGAGTCTGTTCTGACTCAATGGCAAATAACAACAACAACAGTCTTTTCCTCGTTTTCATCATTGGTGTTTCAAGAGGTCTAAATGTATATCAACATTACAGTATTTTCTGAAATTAAAAGATACCTGATTCCCTAAAATAATTTTTGTTCCTGAGTCTTGTTTTTAAAGTATATACATAGAAATAGTACAAGAAACAGAAATAACAATAAGAGGAATTAGATATTTAAAGTTTAAATGTACCTGTTTACAGTTGACATGTCTTTACTTTTTAGAATAATTAATTTCTATTATATTTAAATTTATTTCCATAATTTTTTATTGGTGGTAGTTCCATACAGCTTTAATATTGCTGCAGATGCCTGAATCTAGTTCTAATGATTGCTTTGTTCATTGGTAGTGTGCTGTTTTTCCTGATTTTTCACGTGCCTTGCAATTTTTTATTGAAAGCCTATCATCTTGTGGGGAGCTCTGGTAGCATAGTGGCTAAGGCACTTGACTGCTCACCAGATGGCTGGCGGTTCAAACCCATCAGCCACTCCTCGGAAGGAAGGTTGGGCAATCCTACTTCCGTAGTGATACTGCCTCGGAAACCCAAGGAGGGGTCGCTATGAGTCAGGGCTGACTCGACAGCACATAACAACAACAACAACATCATCTTGTGTAGGACAGTAGAGATTATGATAAATAGTTTTTATGCCTGGAAAATGAGATCACCTTTCTTACAAATTTTCAGCATGGGCATCTAGTTTTTCCAGTTTTACTTGTTGAAAACAATATCCTACTTCATAGAATTTGTCTTAGATTTGTATCACAACTCAGAATGATATATTTCTTTGAGTGTATTTTGTTATACTCTACTCTGATCCCTTAAGCTATGTGACTTTCCTACAGTGTATGTGTTTGTATTTAAGATAAGAATATGACTCCCAGTTGGTATAGTACAACGAGTAGATACAGAGAGCAACAGCCACACAAGTAAGACATGCAGCCAAACTTTTGGGCAAGAGTCTTTGAGTTGGTTTTGAAGACAGCTATGATGCAAGACAGAGGATCTCAGACAAGACCAGTTTTACCTATTGTAGAGAACAGTCATAAACAGGGAAAAGATCCACAACATCATACTGGTCCCCCAGAGCAGGGTGAATGAAAGACAGGTGGTAGCTCACATGCTTCAGTTTGTGCCAGGAATGAAGGACAAACACTACTCTCTAGCCACAAATCTTAAAGGGCCATTTCATGAAGGAGGGGCCCTAGCCATGGAGCAGTGTTAGCAAGCTACGAATAGGGCTTACTTTGTACAGTGTTGCTCCACTATACTCTGGGACACCTGGCCTAAAGAACAGTTGGAACCCACATCCTGGTTTACACCTTGCTGTTCAGTGCTAATCTAAATTTTGCTGAACTCCAGGTTCAGGGTTTATCTTGTGGGTTTCTTTGAAAACAGGTGTACATGCAGGGGGAGACTGAGGGCAGCTTCAGACAAGGGGATCTCAGAGTCATTCATGCAGACTTGCAGCATATCCTTTCTCCAATATCATCCTGTGTATTGTAGCTCCATAATAGATCTTGAAATCAGATAATAATACCGTCTTTTTTTTTGTCCTTCAGTTGCTAATATGGTGACTCACTGTTTTTTTCAAATTTGAACCAGCCTTGCATTCCTGGAATAATTCCCATTTAGTCATGATTTATTATTGTTTTTAAACATTACTGAATTTTGTTTGCTAATATTTTCAAAAGAAAATGGTTTATGACCATGCTTATGAAGGATACTGATCTGTAATTTTATTTTCTTAAAATAGCTTTGATTAGTTATTAGAGTATTACTAATTGTATAAAATTAGTTGAGATACCTTCTCTCTTCTGTTTTCTGTAAGAGAGTGTGTTGTTGTTGTTGTTATGTGCCGTCGAGTCGGCCCCGACTCATAGCGACCCCTCCTTGGGTTTCCGAGGCAGCATCACTACGGAAGTAGGATTGCCCAACCTTCCCTCCGAGGAGTGGCTGATGGGTTTGAACCGCCAGCCTTCTGGTTAGCAGGCAAGTGTCTTAGCCACTATGCTACCAGAGAGAGTGTGTTGAGTTGGTGTTATTTTATTTTTCTATATTTAATGGAATTCACCAGTGAAGCCTTCTAGCCTGGTGTTTTCATTGTTGTTTGAACTATAAGTGTAATTTCATTAATAGATACAGCACTATGAATTAGTTGATCTCAGATATTTCCTCTCCAGTTAGTGATTTTCCTGCAGGTTTGTACTTCTGACACTTTTAATTTATCAATTAAATGGTAAGTGCATACTACAGGGAGGTAAGTTTTTACTTATTTTGAAACTTCTGTTAAAAGATATGGATGCCTAATAAAGAGCTGATAAATATTACCTTTGCAAAGTAATGCAATTCTTGTATGTAATTTGTAAATAAGGTAACAAAACAACCTTCTATAAAAATATATTTCTAAAAAATATATTCTACAAAAAATAGAAAAATATATTTCTTTTTATCATTTTATTGTTAACCCTTTGGTATTTTTTATGCCTTTTCTAGAATACCCACATCATCCTGTTCCTGTCTTTTTCCTTTTTTTTTTTTTTGATGGTCTTTTCTATTAGGTGTACTAGCCCTGTCTTGGTACCCACCTGATTCAAATGATGAGAATGGAGAACCTACTGATGACTTGGTACCCACTATTTTGGATAAAGCTCATAAATATAATTTGAAGGTATTTTATTTTATTTTCAAGCTATACATAAGTTAATTTTTCTGGAAAAGAAATTAGTAATTAAAGATTTTGAGTAATCATTTAAATTAAAAGCTCCATGTGAAAATAATGGCTTGACTATGTTAAGCCACCTAACAATAACAGCAATTTTTCAAATGATACTTGTTTCATTAAGGAAGTTTCTATAATTTAATATGAACTACAAACCTTGTCTAGGCTATTTTCCTAATAATATTTTACTTACCTATTTATTATTTGTTTTAGCAAATAGGATTGAGTTACTGTTTTTTTAAGATAAAACGGAAATTAGTTAAGATTTATATGTGTAAATGCCTTACATATCAAAGATATACTAAAAATATCAAAGATGTACTGAAAACATGTATTAACCATGTGACTTTAAGTATTTGTCATAAATTAGATAGAATATAAAATCATTAGCCTGGCTAAATTTACTCCATTTTGTCAGAAAAACAAAATGAATGACTGGAAAAACGAAAATAATAACATACATACATACATATATAATATGAAAAATGAAGAGAGAATCTACCTATAGATACAGAAGAGAGTTTAAGATTTTATATTAACGTATTCAAAACATATAAATAATCATCAGTTTTCTGAGAAAATACATGAAAAACTTGAACTATTTTTGTGCCCGAAGAGGTTAAAACATCTCCACAGGGATGCCTGAGTTTCCTCAAGTTATTGCTTCTCATTTGCCAGAGTGAGTGATCCAAAACAGAGTCCAATATAGAAGCTACAATCTTTTTTTGACCTAATTTTTAAATGACCTACTCTAACTTCTACCCAGTTATATTGTCTTAGTTATTGATAAACCACCCATACTGCTGCATAGGAAGAAACTACCAAGGGTGTGAATTCCTAAAGGTGGGGATCATTAGGGTCATCTCGGAAACTAGGTATCACAGAAAGCTTTCGAATTTATTGTATAATATAGCACCATCATGATTCTAAAACTAAATAAGGATAGCATAGTGAGACTTTACAAACAGATACAAAACAGATGCAAAATTCCTTAAAAAAAGTAATAATAACCTTAGATAAGAAGTGTTTCTGAGCAGGGATTGAAGAGTGGTTCTGAGAGTGTGAAATCTGAATCGAATTTGCCTGTATTCCAATTCTGGCTGAATCATTTGCTAGCTATGTAATTCTTACACTTCACTTTCCTCATCTTTAAAATGGAAATAGTGACAATTACTAGCTATGTAATTCTTACACTTCACTTTCCTCATCTTTAAAATGGAAATAGTGACAAAATCTTCTCACAGAACCTTTAAATTATCAGTGAGTTTCTATTTACATTTATCTGTATAGGGCTTACATTTATCTGTATAGTGCTTATCTTATTGGGTACCGAAAAACTGAAGAAAAAATAAAACTCCTTACTAGTAAAACTCTCAGCAACCAAAGAATAGGATACTTCTTTACTTTATGCTTTATAGATATGTTTTAGAGATCTATATCAGAGCTCCTTCTTAACAGAGAAACAATATTGTCATCCCTAGGAAATCAAGATCAAAACAAGAATGCCTTCAATTATCAGTATTACTTAGTACTCTTACGGAGGTTCTAAGCAAAGGTGTTTGACTGAAAAAGAGAAAAGGAAAAACGTTCTAAATGGAATTAGGTTTATTTATAAATGATAACTATCTAGAAAACCCATACAAATTATTTAAGAACTATTGGGGAAAAAAAAAGAGTTCAATAAGGTAGCTGGAACTACCACCCACCCACCCAAAAAAAAAAAAAAAAAAAAACTATACAAATCTGCAAGATTACTATATTTTACCGGAAATAAAAATCAGAAAAAAATAATGAAAAGAGTCATATGAAAGTCAAATAACAATAGATACACAAAGAAATCTATAGCATTGATATAGGATATGAAAGACCTGTATAAATGGGGAAACATGAATTTGATAGGATAATTACATATTCCACAAATGGCCATTCTCTCAATAGTATGTATGTATTTTTTAATTTAATTTGTAAATTCAATGTTTTTTGTTATTGTTGTTGTCATGTGCTGTCAAGTTGGACCTAACTCATTGCGACCCCTCCTTGGGTTTCCGAGGTAGTATCACTACGGAAATAGATTGCCCCATCTTCCTTTCGAGAAATGGCTGGTGGGTTTGAATCATCAGCATTCTGGTTATCAGTCAAGTGCCTTAGGCACTATGCTACAAATTCAATGTTATACTAATTAAAAATTCAAATTAGAATTTAGTATAAGATTTAACTGGCTAATCCCAAAGTTTATAAATATGTTAGAATAATGTAAGACTTGTTTTTAAATGCTTTTTATTTATTTTATTATTTTATTTTTTATTGTGATTTGGGTGAAAATTTACAGAGCAAATTCACTTTCCATACAGCAGTTCACATACACTGTCTCATGATATTGACCACAATTTACCACAACGCAACAGCTGCCCTCCCACTTCTTCCCGATAGTTACCTTTTCCCTGTGTCCATCCCTCCATGCACTGCTGCCCCCTGAGCTGTCTCCCTATGCATAAGCAGCCCTTCTTTCTCCCATGATTGTTCTCTCCAAGGAGTGTGTCTACCTCAGGGAAATGTTCAACTCATATACCTGTCTATTGTTGGCTGGAAGCCCCAGGCATGGGTTCAATTCCAGACCTGAAGGGCAGCTAGGGGCCATAGTCTCAGGGGTTCCACCAGGCTCTATCGGGCCAGCAAGCCTGGTCCCCCCCCCTTTTTTTTTCTCCAAATGATTTTGAGTTTTGTTCCACATTGTTCTCCTTCTCTATCCAGGATCTCCTACATAGATCCCCTTCCAAGTGGTTAACAGTGGTAGCTGGGCACCATCTAGTTCTTCTGGTCTCATAGTCGTATAGGCTGCAAATTGCATGGTGTTACCCATCACTAGGACTAATTGTTTCCATGAATTTTTGTTTTTTTTAATTCTTCTTTGCTCTGGACAAGGAAAGACCCATTGTTGCATCTAGATGGCAGCTTGCAAGCTTTTAAGATTCCAGTCGCTACTCACCAAAGTACGAGGTGGAACAATGTTTTGTGTAGTATGTTATGCCAGTTGACCTTGATGTCCCCTGACACTATGGTCCTGCGCCCACAGGTTCAACTACTCGGTCCCTCTGGGTAGCTGGCTGTGACCAAGAAGTGACTATAACTTTGCCCCTTGTCAGGTCTACTATACACCTGGGAATTCAGATCATATACATAAACTTATAGGACCATTGTCTGCCAACCCTATACATGTTGTTGGGTACATTTCCCGCTTCATGGACATACCTAATAGCTCAGCCTGTCCACCCATCTATCCACCCGTATACCCATGTTTGCCTTCACTGACAGTGCAGTACTGTATGTGCAGAAGGGTTCATCTTTGTTGTCTGTACCTCCCATGTACCTCTCTATGTCTTTCTCTTCCTCCGTACCACCATATCGATCACTCACATTTGATACATTGCCCTTCTCTTCACCTAAATCAAAACTTATCTCTATCTATCTAACAATGTTCCTTCCCTTCCCTTCCCACACCTGGTAACCAACAAGGAAAATTCCTTCCATAGATAAACCTTTCCTTGACTTTTACAATAACGGACTAATACAATATTTGTCCTTTTGTGATTGACTTATTTCACTCAGCATAATATCCTCAAAGTTCATCCAAATTATGTGGTTTTTTGCAGATTCTACATAATTCTTTAGCATTACATAACATTCCATTGTGTGTATGTACCATAGTTTGGTTATCCATTCCTCAGATGATGGGCACCTAGGTTGTTTCCATCTTTTGGCTATTGTTAATAGTGCTGTGATGAACATGGGTGTGCATATGTCTGTTCTTGTCATGGCTCTCACTTCTTTAGGATATATACCTAGTGGTGGAATGGCTGGACCAAATGGTATTTCTAATTCCAACTTTTTAAGGAATCGCCATACTACTTTCCACAGTGGTTTTTCCATTTTACAGTCCCACCAGCAGTGTATGAGAGTCCCAATCTCTCCACATCCTCGCCAGCATTCTTTATTTTCTGTCTTGTTGAACTGTACTTCTAGGGCTGGAACAAGATGGTATCTCATTGTTGTTTTGATGTGCATCTCTCTAATGGTTAATGATCCTGAGCATTTCTTCATATGTTTGTTGGCCGCTTGAATATCCTCCTTGGTGAAGTGTCTATTCATGTCTTCTGCCCATTTTTTAATTGGATTGTTTGTCTTGTTATTGAGGTGTTGGAGTGTTCTATAAATTCTAGAGA